TTTTTTTCTTGAAGTCTGCTCTGTTGCCCAGGCTGGAGTGCGGTGTCCAGATCTGGGCTCCTGCCTCAGCCTTTTGAGTAGTTGGGACTACAGGCATGCACCACCATGCCCAGTTAACTTTTGTGTTTGTAGTAGAGACAAGGTTTCATCATGTTAGTGAAGCTGGTCTCAAACTCCTGATCTCTTGATCTGCCCACCTCGGCCTCCCAAGTGCTGGGATTACAGGAGTGAGCCACCATGCCTGGCTGAAGAGCACATTCTATAACTACAGGATTCCTTTGCCAGACATTCAAAGTTTATCCTAAGAAAATACCCTCAAAAACAGAAAAGGGTGGACTCGCCCTGTTGACAGGGAAGTAGGGGTTCAAGCACTTGGTTCTGCTTTTAAAATTCTCCGTGTCGTGGGCGGGCGCGGTGGCTCAAGCCTGTAATCCCAGCACTTTGGGAGGCCGAGGCGGGTGGATCACAAGGTCGAGAGATCGAGACCATCCTGGTCAACATGGTGAAACCCCGTCTCTACTAAAAATACAAAAAATTAGCTGGGCGTGGTGGCGCGTGCCTGTAATCCCAGCTACTCGGGAGGCTGAGGCAGGAGAATTGCCTGAACCCAGGAGGCGAGAGGTTGCGGTGAGCCGAGATCGCGCCATTGCACTCCAGCCTGGGTAACAAGAGCGAAACTCCGTCTCAAAATTCTCCGTGTCCTTCCCAAGCGATGAGTTCTAGATCCGAGGGTTGTAGGTGGAGGGAGGCTTTATAACAGGTGTGCCCCGAATTCACTCACCTCCCCAGAGCTCATTCCCCCACCCTTTTTAAAAAAAAGAGTTTGGGTTGTCACTATGCTGCCCAGGCTGGTCTGAAACTCCTAGACTCAAGCAGTCCTCCCATTTCCGCCTCCCAAAGTTCTGGGACTACAGGAGTGAGCCCACAGTGCCCGACCCTCATTACCTTTTTAGAAAGCAACTCCTGACTTTGGCAGTGACGTTTATTTTCTGTGGAGGGGAGTTATATACAGCAGTGACCAGGAGCCACCCCCACCAGGTTTAGGTGGGACAGGCAGCATTGGCGAAAGGCACACAGTGGCAGTAGCCAGAAGAGGCCAGGAGAAGTAAGGGTGGGGCGCGTGATGTGTCCTGGGAGACCCAGATGAGGAAACAGGCTCAGTGAGGGCCTCGGGCCACACAGCAAGGTGCGAAGGCAGCTGGTCCCAAGAGCTTGTGCCTGTTGCTTCTCTCTTGCCTGGGCTACAGGAGGACGCAGGGGCAGCCACCGCCCTTCTTCCTGGGGGCACTGGGAGGGGTGGGGGGAGCTCTTGTTCCTGGTATTTCCTGTGGGAAAAGGCCAGTGAGTTTGGAGTGGAAGGGCGGGGGACAAGGACGACGGGAAGGGGACGAGGCTCACCGGACGGCCCGCACCAGCTGCTCAAAAGCCTCGTCCACGTTGAGACGCAGCTTGGCCGAGGCCTCAAAGTAGGGCACGTGGTGGGAAGCGCCAAAGGTCGATGCTTCTGATCGGGGCACCTGAGGGTGCGGGGGAGGGACATAGGGGGTCAGGTCCCTGCACTCAGGGTGACTGCAGCTGGAGAGACAGACAGGCAGGCTGGATCCTCTAGGGGAGGTGAACCACTGTGAGAACTCAAAGAGGAAGAGAGCCTGGAGGGAGATGCAGCAGGGGCTTGGTGTCCTCTAAGTGACGGATGGGGGCGGGCTTCGTGGCTTGCCCTTTGTGCCTTAGATAACCAGGAGTGGCAGAGAAGTCAGGGTGTTACAGGCAGAGGCCAGTGGAGACCCAAAGGCTGGAAATCCCCAAAGCCTGTGCCAAATGGATGAGTTCTGTGTGGAAATCACTGTCGGAGCGCGGGGAGGTGGTGGGAGCAGGGACCGGGGTTCAACTGTGGCGGGGCATCTGGCACCCAGGGAGGAACTGGGGAGCCATGGAGGGGGCCGGCCATGGGCAGGGCGGGTACTGGGGCTGGTGGGAGGTTGGCTGGGAGGAGCTCGAGGGTGGAGGATGAGGCAAAGTGGGCTGGCAGGTGCGGGGCTGAACGGCCTTTGTTCCATCCAGCAGCCTCTCCTGAGGATACTGGTGTGCTAGGCTCTCTGCTCGGTGATGCTAGGGACCCCGAAGGTCAGGTTTGGGGGTAACCCATCTAAGTGAGCCCTGTGACAGTGGCAGTCAAAGGACTGCAGGAACAGAGGAGGATACTGATGGACAGGTGCAGTGGAAGGAGGCTCCCAGGCTAAGATGAGGTCCCAACAAAGAGCGGTGTCCCGAACCTGGCGCTGTGCCTCCAGATCTGCCTTGTTCCCGACCAGCACGATGGGGAAGTCGTCGCGGTCCTTGACCCGGAGAATTTGTGTGAAGAGCTTGCCCACCTCGTTGAAACTGCAAGTGAAGCCGGAGGCAAGAGGTCCAGCCAGCTTCGGAGCCCGGTTCCTCCCCCGACCCCCCCCCCCGATGCTCCGCCTCCAGCCACCCCTGTCACCTCTGCCGGTCGTTGATGGCGAACACCAGCAGGAAGCCGTGGCCGGCACGCATGTACTGCTCTCTCATGGCCCCAAACTCCTCCTGGCCCGCGGTGTCCAGGACTGCAGAGACAGGGAGGGGGCCATCATGGGGACCGGGCTCCCCCCAGTCGCCCCCAAGAGCCCTCAGCCCCCGCTGGCACCACCCCCATCCATCATCCATCCCCTGCCGCCTCACTGTCCAGCCGGGCCGGGACGCCATCCACAGTGCAGATCTTCGTGTAGGAGTCCTCGATAGTGGGGTCGTAGTCAGACACGAAGTAGGACTGGCGGGGTAGGGAGAGGAAAGTTAGTACAGGGCCCCGGCAGGCAGGACAGACAGGACGGAGCCCTGCCCCTGGCTGCCTCTCTAAGTCTCTGTCCCTCTCTCCCTCTAAGTGTCTTTCCCCATTGCTGGGTCTCTGCCCTCTTTTCTCTGGGTCTCTGAACCCTCTGTCTCTTTATTTCCCTCTTTCTGGGTCTCTGTCCCCTTCTCTTTGCGTATCTGCTCCCCTGCCCCACTCTCCCCACTGCCCCGCTCCTCACACTAGTCTTCTCTCTCAGTCACTCCTGGTTCTCTTTCCAGTATAAGGTACATGTCCCACATCCTGATTACATGCTAGCTGTGTGACATTGAACAAATCATTTCCCCTCTCTGAGCCTCAGTTTCCTCATTTGAAAAAGGAGGCTAACGGCCAGGCGTGGTGGCTCACACCTGTAATCCCAGCACTTTGGGAGGCCGAGGTGGGTGGCTCATGAGGTCAGGAGTTCAAGACCAGCCTGGCCAAAATGGTGAAACACCATCTCTACTAAAAAATAGAAAAATTGGCCGGGCATGGTGGCTCACGCCTGTAAATCCAAGCACTTTGGAGGCCAAGGTGGGCGGATCATCCACCTGAAGTCGGGAGTTCAAGACCAGCCTGACCAACATGGTGAAACCCCGTCTTAAAAATATATATACACAGCCGGGCGCGGTGGCTCAAGCCTGTAATCCCAGCACTTTGGGAGGCCGAGGCGGGTGGATCACAAGGTCAAGAGATCGAGACCATCCTGGTCAACATGATGAAACCCCATCTCTACTAAAAATACAAAACATTAGCTGGACATGGTGGCGCGTGCCTGTAATCCCAGCTACTCAGGAGGCTGAGGCAGGAGAATTGCCTGAACCCAGGAGGCGGAGGTTGCAGTGAGCCGAGATCGCGCCATTGCACTCCAGCCTGGGTAACAAGAGTGAAACTCCGTCTCAAAAAAAAAAAAAATACATATATATATATATATATATATATATGCACACACACACACACACAAAAATAAGCCAAGTGCAGTGGCAGGAACCTGTAATCCCAGCTACTCGGGAAGCTGAGGCAGGAGAATCGCCTGAACCTGGGCGGCAGACATTGCAGTGAGCCGAGATCACACCACTACACTCCAGCCTGGGCAGCCTGGGTGACAAAGTGAGACTCCATCTCAAAAAGAAGAAAAAAGGAAAAGGAGGCTAAGAACAGTACCACCTCTCATCCAGCATCGGGGAGGTTTGGAGCAAGTCCGGTTAAACACCGAACATGTCAGTTATGAGAGCTGCAGACTGCCTCTCTATGTCCCTCCCTCCTCTGCCTCCTCCCCGTCCTCTTCCTCCTCCCCTGCCCCTCCTCCTCCTCAGGCGGCCTCCAGTGTCTCCTCCCAGGGGAAGGTCCCGGTTCCAATCCGGCTGCGGAGAGGCTGCCCCACCCTCGGGCCCGGGCCCCTCCCTTCCTGCCTGGGTCCTTCCCGCCTCCAGCCAGGCCTTTGGCCAGCTCTGGGACTGCCTCTGGGTGCAAGGGGCCCGGGGCAGGGGCCTTTCTCTACACAAGCAGGGCTCCCTCCCAGGCCCTTGCTGGGGTCTCTTGGGTCAGGATGGGGGCGGGTCCTGGGTTCCCGGGGCCTCTGCAGTAGCATCTCAGGTGCAGACAGTTTTTTTAGGATTTCTTTGAAGTGGGGAAGACCTCCCTTGGGAATGGGGAGGAGGTTTCCTGGGCAGGGGTGGAATTTCAGGAAAGGGGGTGATTTGGTGGCTAGGGGTCTGAAGGCTGCATCTGTCAGTTATAAGGGTGCTTGTTCAGGGCTTGTCCTGGAGGGACGCAGTAAGGACTAGGCCCTGGGAGGGATTGTGGCTCTGCGGGTAGTTAGGGGCCTGACTTCAGAACACTGCCGGAGCAGCTCAGGGCTGAGAACTGGGGGTCAGCCTGGAGGTGGCTCAGGGGCGTTTGGGAGGTTATAGTAGATACAGTCTTAGAGACATTGAGATGTATTTTTGGGGCCAGAGAAACTTCCAAAGAGTAGGTCTTTCTGGGGGTGTCAAGAATCTGGGGGCTTTGGCCAGGCACAGTGGCTCACACCTGTAATCTCAGCACTTTGGGAGGCTGAGGCGGGTGGATCACCTGAGGTCAGGAGTTCGAGACCAGCCTGGGCAACATGGTGACACCCCATCTCTACTAAAAATACAAAATTAGCCGGACGTGGTGGCACATGCCTGTAATCCTAGCTACTCCGGAGGCTGAGGCAGGAGAATCACTTGAACACAGGAGGCAGAGGTTGCTGTGAGCCGAGATCACACCATTGCACTTCAGACTGGGCAACAAGAGCAAAACTCCGTCTCAAAAAAAAAAAAAAAAAAAGAATCTGGGGGCTTCTTCCATGGAGATGACTTGAGAGTTATCCAGGGTTTCTGAGAGAGGCTTAGGGAGTTGCAGTGGAGGAAAAACACAAGATAGATGAGGGGCTGGCTGGGAGAGTGGAGGTTTGGGTCTTGTGGAATGGTGGATTGTCAGGACTTGGGGATCTTGAAGATTTCTGGAATGGCCAAGGGGCAGGATGTCTTTTTAAATCTTGGGTCGGAGAGCAGGACTCTCAGGACTGGGTAGTCCCAGAAGAGTCTCAGAGCCAGGGTCTGGGTAGACTTTCTAGATTCTGGGGGAGGTCATGGAAGGTGCTAAGAATCGAATGTAGGGCCAGTCGTGGTAGCTCACTCCTGTAATCCCAGCACTTTGGGAGGCTGAGGCGGGCGGATCACGAGGTCAGGAGTTTGAGAACAGCCTGGCCAATATGGTGAAAGCCCATCTCTACTAAAAAATACAAAAATTAGCCGGGTGTGGTGGCATGCGCTGTAGTCCCAGCTACTCGAGAGGCTGAGTCAGGAGAATCGCTTGAACCTGGGAGGCGGAGGTTGCAGTGAGCCGAGATCATACCACTGCACTCCAGCCTGGGTGACAGAGTGAGACTCTGTCTCAAAAAAAAAAAAAAAAAAAAAAATCGAGCGTGGGGGAATCTGAAAGATGCTGGGCACTGGCGTTCTGGGATTTGGAGGAGATAGGGCTAAGGGTGGTTGAAGGTGGCACCGAGGGGTGTGTGTGGGAGGGCCTGGGACTGCTTCGGGTCTGAATGGGGTGAGCGTTCTATATTTAGCATGCTCCCAGGACGTGTCAGACCTCCCAAAGCCAGGTCAGCAGGTAAGCAGGGTCTAGGCACTGGGGGAGGGAATGGGGGGGCATCTCAGGATTCGAGTGCAGAAGGAAGGTCCCCCATGGAGGGGGTGGAGGCTCTCCAAGAGTTTAGGTTACAATCTGTGGGGATCTTTTAAGATTAGAGGGCCTTATAGGAGGGTCTCAGGGGTCTCAGGGATTCCCCCCAAGGGCTCAGTTGTGGGTCCCGGGGGCACCCTCCCGGGTGAGGGCCCACTACCTGGATGAACTGGATGGTCAGCGCGCTCTTGCCCACGCCGCCGCCGCCCACGACCACCAGCTTGTGTGTCTCGCTGGGCGGGGGGTCCCCGGGCCCAGGCCCCCCGCCCCGGGGCCGCCCCCGCCCTGTCCCGGACGCCGCCCCGCTGCTCATGTCGCCACCGCTGCTGCTGCCTTCGCTACCGCCTGCGGGGGAGCCGGGCGGGACCCGGCGGGGCGGGCTACGCTAATTAGGCTACTGCATAATCATGAACTCTGGCTAGGAGGGTTCGCGTCTCCGGACACTTAAAAGAGGGGGACGGGCCAAGGGGAGGGAGGAGCTATGTTAATACGTGAAAGGGAACGGGGTTCGCTGCGAAGGGGAATTCCGAATGGGGCGGGCATATGCTAATAAGAGACCCGTGCTCGCCCCGAGAGCCGCCACGCGCTCTCAGCGGGAGGGCGGTCTGTGGGCGTGGCCATGCAAATAACATTCTTTGAGCAGTCAGGGCGGGAAGCTCGTCAAGGGGAGGGGCTATGCAAATAAGGACCCCTGTGACAGTGGCTCTTGGGGCACCATCTCCGAGGCCTTAGTCTGGTAGGCGGGGCTCGTAGATTCGCGCGCACGGCCGTATATAGGGCGCTCCGAGGCAGCAGCAGGTTTTCAGGAGAAGCTCCACCTCCCTCCTGGGATCCTAGCCAAGCTTTCGACCCGGGCGTCTGGGTTAGAAGCTGGAGTCTCCGCCTGCTAAGGGACCCAGGCTTCCGGTTCCCGCTGTCCCAGCCAAGCGGAAGACAGACTGGGAGGGGAGTGGGGCCCTAGAGGGGGACAGCGGGGTAACGGGGCAGGGAGGGGCCGTGAGATCACTGCATTCCTAATCCATGAGCCAGCTCGCCCAAGTCGTGATGCTCGGGTCATGAAGGGCCTGGAGCCAGGATTTCCGGGTCTTGGAGAAGGAAGGCGAGGGCCCAGACTCCTGGGTCCCTAGGAGAAAATGGGGCTGGAAATGTGGACTCCTGGGCCCTGGGGAGGAGAGTGTCAGGGAGGAAGGTGTCTGAGTCCTTATTACTAAGTTCGGTAAAGGAGGGAGCCGGGGACCAGGACTCTTGGGTCCAAGGGTTGGAGAGGCTGGAGACCCGGGATAATGGGTCCGAGCGAGAGCACTGCATTGGTGGTACCCGAATTCGTATGTGAGAGCTTGAGACCAGGACTAGTCTGGGAGACCGACTCGTGGGTCAGGAAGGAAAAATGAGACTCCTGAGTTCGAGGGAGGAGGGAAATAAGAGTCTTCTGCTCTGAGTGAGAGGATTCCGAATTCAGACTTCTCTGTACAGAATGAGGAGGCTGTGCGGTCGGGCTCCTGGATTCTAAGTTTATTTTTATTTATTTATTTTTTGAGACGGAGTTTAGTTCTTGTCGCCCAGGCTGGAGTGCCATGACGCGATCTCGGCTCACTGCAACCTCCGCCTGCCGGGTTCAAGCGAATCTCCTGCCCCAGCCTCCCAAGTAGCTAGGGATTATAGGCGTTAGCCACCACGTCCGGTTAATTTTTGTATTTTTAGTAGACACGAGGTTTTACCATGTTCGTCAGGCTGGTCTCGAACTCCTGACCTCAGGTGATCCACCCGCCTCGGCCTCCCAAAGTGCTGGGATTACAGGTGTGAACCACCGCGTTCGGCTTGTTTTTATTTTTTTACAGACGGGGTCTCCCTATGTTGGCCAGGCTGGCCTCCAACTTCTAGGCTGAAGCGATCCATCCGCCTCAGTCTCGCGAGTGGGATTACTGGTGTGCGCTGCTGCATCCCGTCTGGTTCTAAATTTAGGGGGGCCTAGAGGATCTGGATTCTGAGGCACAGAATGTGGGCAGGACAGCATCCAGCAAGTCGTGCTCACTCCGCAGAACTACAATTCCCTTGCATCTGTTCGGTCTAGCCCCTCTTACGTCACCTCCTGTTCCGCCACCCTTTCCGCGCGCGCGCAGGGCACTGTGGGGCGTCATCGCGGGCTTCCGCGGCCCCGCCCACTTCACCTCTCACCTCCTTGCTGTCCCCGCGCGACAGAGGCGGTGCAAGGACTACGTCTTCCGGCGTGCATCGCGCGTGCACCGCCCCATATATCCCTTTGACTTCTGGGAAACCGAGTCCCGTTGCCTTCCCACCAGCCTTCACGGCGCCGTGCTCGGTACTTGAAATCCCGGCAAGCTCGGCGGCGCTTTAGCTCCGCCTCTCTCCTCCTCTGCTCACGAGCCCCGCCCCAGCCCGCCCCGCCCCGCGCCGGGGCCGGAGCCGCAGCCCGAGCGGCGGGGTAAGATGGCGGCGGCGGTCCGGGCAGCGGGGCTCGGGCCTATTGGGGTGGGCGGGGCGGAGTCGGGTCGCTAGTTGTCCCGGGGTCCTCCCCACAAGCCACGGGGCTCGGAGGGCTTAACGGGGCGGTCTTGGGCCCGGCAGCTGCGGCGAAACCTGGCGCCGAGAGGGGGGCCTTCTCAGGGCCCCGGGACGTATCCGTGGGTTCCTGGAGGCGTCTATGGGGCATCTCCGAGAGGACTGGGGGCGTCCCTGGGCCTGGACCGAGCCTAACGCCTGCCCTCCATCAAATAGCTGGCCTGGATCGTGTTTGTAGACACTGTAGATCGTCTTTATGGGCTGACCGGAGTCTAGGGTCTGCTTAGAGGGTTCTGGGGCCATCTTGAGATTTTGAGATATGTCCCAGGGGTGAAGGAGGGTCTGCAAGACCTGAGGAGTATCTTCAGAACCATCTAGAGCGCCTGGGGTATGTTTGTTAGGGCTGGAAAGTGACTACATGGGCTGGCCTGAGGATGCAACTGGTCTGCATAGGTCTGGAGTCCTTTATCAGGCCTGGAAGAACTGTTCAAGGACTAGGAAATCTTATAGGGCCACCTAGGGGGTTGGGATATGCCCACCAGGGGTGGGAGCAAAATATTGAGATGTACCAAGGGTCTTGGATGGGTCTCCAAGGTCTGGGTAGTGTCTAAATGGGTGACAGGAGGCTGGGGGCAGATAGAAGGACCTGGAACCATCTAGATGGCTTTAATGTGACTGCAGGAATGCAGTTTTTGTGCCTGGAGCAAATTCGAATGTCTTTGGGGACAGGTAAACTTACGGTGGAAAATACAGGAAGAGAATGAGGAAATTTTGCCCGTCTTAGATGTACTTGCCCTTCAGAAAGTAATTCAAATGAAAAATGTTTTAAAATTCTGCATTACCCTAGGGTTATTGAGAGAGTTAAAATTAATCTTCATTAGTCTGGAAGAGTCTGTAGGGTCGTCTGGACTCACTATTACAGTATTTTTCAAGCTATTTTGATAGTGATTTGCTTTAAGATACATTTTTTTCAATGGACCTAGTACAGACCAACATAATATATTTAACATTATGTAACATAATGTGTTAACATTAACTCACCTTCCATGAATTGACATTCCCACTTACTACTTGTGATGTGCTGTGACGAACTGTTTTGTTCTATTTACTTTTTATAACAAGTTATTTGTGAAGCACTAGACTGCTATATGACCCTGTAGTTGGGGAAACCAGCGATCCAGACAGGACCTAGCAGTATCTGCAGAGCATTCTTCTATCCAAAAGATCTGAGTAGCTGAGGGTGTGTCTGCAAAGCCTGGTGCTGTGTAAATGAGCAAGCAAGTATCTTTATGTACTGCAGAGGGCTTGGGGATCCCTGAGTCTGTAGGCAGCTGATGTTGATTAAGCTTCTAATATGTGACAGTCACTGTTCTAGGTAGCCATGTGCTTCCCTGGGAGGTGCTGGAGAGCCGTCCCAGGGCCAGGAATGGTCCACAGGGCTGAGGGTATGGAGTATTGGTGAAAGAGGCTGGGATGTAATAGACTATCGGGGTTGGGTGTGTCGTAGGAGGTTAGGAACTAAGTGGAGCTGGGAGGCTGAATGTGGAAGCTCGGCGTGGCTTGAAAAATCTGTGGAGGGATGTAGAACAGGACCCAGGTCTTGTCAGCCGGCATGCTGTGGGGGAAGCTGGGAGACAGATGAAGGGGAAACGTGGGCCTTAAGGGCTAATAGCGTCGTTCCTGTTCATCTGGATTGAGCCCATAATGTGCTCTAAACGTGTGGCAGAAGTCAGGCTTTCAGTATTCACAGCCATTCTCTGAGATAGATACTCCCATCTTGTGCATTTACATTTAAGCCTACTGAGTTGTGGGTTAGGGATTTTGAAGCTTTCTAGGAATTTTGAGATTGGATATTGTTTTAGGAGTAGCAGATTTGACAGTCATGGGAGAGCTTACAGCTGAAATATTCATATTTTTCTGAAGCCCTAATCAAGACATCCACCTGTTTGATGGCTGATCTTTCAACCGCCTGACTGGGAAATTATGTCAAAGAATTTCCATGATATTGCAAAGGCTCTGGGAAGATGGCAGTAGGTAAATGCCGCCTAGGAAGTTTTTCTTCATCATGCCTTTCTGAAGTTTAGTGATTTCATTTTAAAAATGGCATACTGGGCCAGGTACGGTGGCTCCCGTCTGTAATCCCAGCACTTCGGGAGGCCGAGACAGGCAGATCGCAAGGTCAGGATATCGAGACCATCCCGGCCAACATGGTGAAACCCCTTGTCTACTAAAATACAAAAAATTAGCCAGGTGTGATAGCGTGCGCCTTTAGTCCCAGCTATTCGGGAGACTGAAGCGGGGAATCGCTTGAACCGGGAGGCGGAGATTGCAAGGAGATCGTGCCAGTGCACTCCAGCCTGATGACAGAGCAAGACTCTGTCTCAAAAAAAAAAAAAATGCCTTACTGGTTTTGCAGATCACTCTATGAAGGTTGCAACTTAGGTACTCTATATAAATAAAATTTAGGGGTGGTCATCGAGGACAGCTGATGGCTCTGTGTGGCGTTGGAGGCGTGGCGTTGACTGGTGCCCAGCACACTGGCTTTGGGAAAGGTGGCTTTATGGGCCTGTTGTGGAATACACTCTTTGAAATCACAGTGCAGCACACACAAAAAATCTCAGTGTTGGCTTTGCATCTTCGGAGGCCAGGAAACGAGGTCTTGAAGTTTGGATGGGTTGTGAGGGAAGCTGTGGGAATTGAGGAATGAGATGGTAAAAGTGGAAGCCGGGGAGGTCTCCCTTTGACAGAAGAGGCACCTGAGATCCAGAGAAAAGGAAGAGAATGGCTCCTAGTCCCTGGGGTGTCTGTGTTGGGCCCAGCACTTGCCCAAGCACGGGGTAGAGTGGGATAAGGTGGAGGGGAGGAGGGTGCCAGAGAGGATGCTGAGAGAGGTGGCACGGGGCCCTTGAGGTCTTCGTGTCTACCCTCGGCTTCCGTCCTTTCTCCCGGGACCTCCACTCCAAACTCTCGCCCCCGGACCTCCAGGTGACCATGGAGGAAGAAGATGAGTCTCGAGGGAAGACGGAGGAGTCGGGCGAGGATCGGGGAGATGGGCCGCCAGACAGAGACCCCACGCTTTCTCCTTCTGCTTTTATCCTGGTGAGGCTGCTGGGCTCCTAGCGCTGGGGGATGGAGGAGCCGGGCCCCCACACTCCAGGAGCCTGAGGCAGGGGCCCTGGACTCTTGGCTCCCGTGAAGCTCCTGAGTCTGGTTGTCAGTGTTTGGGATGTCTGTCTCCCAAGGGGCAGAGGTCGCAAAGCATCTGCCTGGGTCCCCTGACTCTTGGTTCTTACCCCCTTCCGCAGCGAGCTATCCAGCAGGCCGTGGGAAGCTCCTTGCAGGGAGACCTGCCCAATGACAAAGGTATGGCGCCGGTTCCTTTTGGCCCCGTCCCCTCTCCATTCTTTATCCTGTCATTCTGGAAGCTTTTCTGAAGCCCCTGGGTGCTACCCGTGTGCTGACATGGGGAGCCAAAGATGAGGCAGACACCCTGCGGCCGCCTTGGAAGGGCCCGTCGTCCAGGGGAAGGGAGACAGGCACGTGCTGTGAGGGGAAGAAGGCCCACCTGAGCTAGCATGGTGGGGGACGGGTCAGGGCACCTTCCCGGAGTGGGGACAGGTGAACGGGGTCTCCGAGGACCTACTAGAGTTTTTGGATCAGAGGGAAGCCTGATCGGCCACAGTAGGCCCGTAGCACAAGGGCTCAGCGACGAGGTTCCTCGGGGCTGGCATGCAGGAGGGTGTGAGTGGGGTAGGGGGAGGCAGGAGAGGTCTGTGGGGACCAGACCCCAGCAAGGCCTGAATGCCAGGCTGAGGTGTCTGAGGGCAGACAGTAGGACAAATAGCTGAGAGCGTCGGCAACGCGGAACGGGTGCTGGGAATTCCCTTGGGAGGTGGTGCGTGGCGGCCGGGAGAGCAGGCGGGAGGCCGGTTCCGCTGTCAGGAACTAGATCAAGCTCCTCTTTCCTCTCGCCCCACAAGTCTCTGCGGTGAGTCCCCTGTGTCCAATCCCCCATGCAAATCTCTCTCCAGATGGCTCTCGGTGTCATGGCCTTCGATGGCGGCGCTGCCGGAGTCCACGGTCAGAGCCCCGTTCCCAGGAATCAGGGGGGACTGACACAGCTACTGTGAGTAAGAAGGAGGGGCCTGGGGGCCGGACTCAGGGTATCAGGGAGGAAGGGACGGGGCCCTGAGTCTGTGGGGGTGGGGTTTTGGGACCTGGACTCCTGGCTCTGCGATGCTGACCGGGGCAATGTGGGCGAGTCTGGGGGCCTGATCTGTGGGCCTAAGCTTTGAGTGCTGATGGCGGTCAGGCTACGGGAATTAGATCCTCAGTTTTCTTAGGGAATGGGGCAGTAGGATTTGTCAATCTTCATGTGAGCAGGGTTGGCATAGAGCCTCTCTGGCCTCTTCTAGGTGCTGGACATGGCTGCGGACAGCTTCCTTGCAGGGCTGGTGAGTGTCCTGGATCCCCCGGATACCTGGGTTCCCAGCCGCCTGGACCTGCGGCCTGGCGAGTGAGTAGTTTGGCAGCTGGAGTGGGAAAGGCCCTGGCGTGAATCCCAGAAGCACCCCTGGGGCTCAACCCCCTCTTCCACCTTGCAGAAGTGAGGACATGCTGGAGCTGGTGGCGGAGGTCCGCATCGGGGACAGAGATCCCATCCCTCTGCCTGTGCCCAGCCTGCTGCCCCGGCTCAGGGCCTGGAGGACAGGCAAAACGGGTATGTGGGGTCAGGGCGGAGCTGGGCAGGTGGCCTTGGAGTTGTGTGGGGATCAGCTGTCCGTGGTGATGGTGGTCATGTAGTGTTCCTCGTGTCATTTAGATAAAACCTTCCACTTTTTTCGTGTTAGATGTGATCGAGGCTGTAGGTGCAAACAGATGTATATAAAGTGAATACCGATGTGCTGGGGCCACGGGGGAGCAGTTAGCGTGTGTGAAACACTTGGTTTCGGCCCGCTCAGTATTAGTGTCACTGCACTAGGAATTCATCTCCCCAGGAGGGGGACTCTTTGAGTCTCTATCTTCCATAGGATCAGACAGTCTGAAAAAGGAGAGGTGCTTGCTCAGGGTGCACAGCCAGATGCTTCATGAGGGGCCTGGGCCTCAAGTCCTGGTGTGTCTGAGTCTGAAGCCCAAGGTTTTGACTTCTGAGATATGTGCTGCCCAAGGAGGAATCTGCTCCTCCAGCCCTACACACAGTGGGAACCCTGTGAGCAGTTTAGCCCAAGCTTGAGCGCACATCTGAATTGCCAGGAGGACTTCTTCACATGCAGATCGCTGGGTCCACTCCCAGGGGTTCTGATTCTGCAGGTCTGGGGTCTTTTGCATTTTAAAGAGTACATGCTGGCCGGGCGCGGTGGCTCACGCCTGTAATCCCAGCACTTTGGGAGGCCGAGGCGGGTGGATCACGAGGTCGAGAGATCGAGACCATCCTGGTCAACATAGTGAAACCCCGTCTCTACTAAAAATACAAAAAACTAGCTGGGCGTGGTGGCACGTGCCTGTAATCCCAGCTACTTAGGAGGCTGAGGCAGGAAATTGCCTGAGCCCAGGAGGCGGAGGTTGCGGTGAGCCGAGATCGCGCCATTGCACTCCAGCCTGGGTAACAAGAGCGAAACTCCGTCTCAAAAAAAAAAAAAAGAGTATATGCTGCTGAGCCCTGGACTCTGTTGAGAACCCTGGGCTTAGGCCTGCCTTCTGCATGAACATACGTATTTGGAGGAGGGGATGGAGGGAGAGGAGAGGAAGGTGCAGTCAGCTACAGGCACCAGCCTGAGCTCTGAGCACCGGTTCTGTGGTAGAGCAGGCAGCCTTCTGTGCCTGGTCACGTTTACCTTCTCTCTTTTGTGTGTGTGTGTGTTGACAGGGTCTCACTATGTCCCCCAGGCTGGAGTGCAGTGGCACAGTCATGGCTCTCTGCAGCCTCAAATTCCTGGCTCAAGCTATCCTGTTGTCTCAGCCTCTGGAGTAGCTGGGACTACAGGTGCATGTCACCATGCTTGGCTAGTTTTTTTTTTTTTTTTTTTTTTTTTTTGAGATGGAGTCTGTCACCCAGGCTGGAGTGCAGTGGCGTGATCTCAGCTCACTGCAACCTCTGCCTCCCGGGTTCAAGTGATTCTCCTGCCTCGACCTTCCAAGTAGCTGGGATTATAGATGCGTGCCACCACGTTCAGCTCATTTTTGTATTTTCAGTAGAGAGGGGGTTTCACTGTGTTGGCCATGCTGGTCTCAAACTTCTGACCTCAAGTCATCAGCCTGCCTCAACCTCCCAAAGTGCTGGGATTACAGTCTTGCTGTGTTGCCCAGGCTGGTCTTGAACTCCAGAGCTGAAGCAATCCTCTTGCCTTGGCCTCTCAAAGTGCTGGGATCACAGATGGAAGCCACCCTGCCCACCCACTGCTTTTTTTTTTGAGACCGAGTTTCGCTCTCGTTACCCAGGCTGGAATGCGATGGTGCCGTCTCGGCTCACCGCAACCTCCGCGTCCTGGGTTCAGGCAATTCTCCTGCCTCAGCCTCCTGAGTAGCTGGGATTACAGGCACGTGCCACCATGCCCAGCTAATTTTTTTGTATTTTTAGTAGAGACGGGGTTTCACCATGTTGACCAGGATGGTTTCGGTCTCTTGACCTCGTGATCCACCCGCCTCGGCCTCCCAAAGTGCTGGGATTACAGGGTTGAGCCACCGCGCCCGGCCTTGCTTTTTTTTTTTTTTTTTTTTAACAGCTGGAATCTATTTATCCATTAAGTACAGAGACACGGTCCTAGGACCCATGACATTCTTAGGGGCCCACAAAAGTGTTTCAGTTTCTTTAAAATTAGAAGCTGTAGAGGATAAGTAAACGAATGGGCAGGGCAGTGTTCCTATAAAACTTGATGTAGGAAAACAGGTGGTATGCTGGATTTGTCTTTGGGCCTTAAGAGTGACATAGGTGTATCCAGAAGCTAATACTAGTTGTTCTCAGGGGGACTCTGAGGTTATGTTTTTTCTTATTCCAGGTGGTTTTTTTGTCTTTTTCCTCCAGAAAATATTAAAATTTAGGAACAAGGAAACTCACCCATAATCCTATCCCATACAGAAATGTACATGAAGCCATGGATCTCGCATGTTTGCTGACCACTCTGGTCTGTGGAGTGTTTTATGTCTAAGGTGCTGGGAATAGCGATGAGACTAGGAGGAGCTGACACTCAGCCATCCTTACTCGGCGGCAGGTGCAGCCTGGCTCTCTCTGCTCACTCATCTATTCCAGCGCTTGTCCTGGGAAGTCAGTGCCGTCATCGTCACCCCTGCGTCATCTTCCCCTAAGCCCTCAGCAGCCGAGGGACTGGCCATGCCGTTCATCGGTATCTTTTTTTCTGAGACAGAGTTTTGCTCTTGTTGCCCAGGCTGGAGTGCAATGGCGAGATCTCGGCTCACCATGACCCGTACCTCTCAGGTTCAAGTGATTCTCCTGCCTCAGCCTCCTGAGGAGCTGGGATTACAGTCATGCGCTACCATGCCCGACTAATTTTGTATTTTTAGTAGAGACAGGTTTTTTCCATGTTGGTCAGGCTAGTCTGAAACCCTCGACCTCAGGTGATCCTCCCGCACTGGCCTCCCAAAGTCCTGGGATTACAGGTATGAACTACCACGCCCAGCTTTGTTCACTGTTTTCTTTTCCTTTTTTTTTTTTTTAAAGAAGGAGTTTCACTCTTGTTGCCCAGGCTGGAATGCAGTAGCGGGGTCTCAGCTCACTGCAACCTCTGCCTCCTGGGCTCAAGTAATTCTCCTGCCTCAGCCTCCCGAGTAGCTGGGATTACAGGTGCATGCCACCATTCCCGGCTAATTTTTGTATTTTTTTAGTAGAGATAGGTTTTACTATGTTGGTCAGGTTGGTCTCGAACTCCTGACCTCTACTGATCCGCCCACCTTGGCCTCCGAAAGTACTGGGATTACAGGCATGAGCCACCCCGCCCTCCCATAAATGGTGTTGAATGAATGAAGAAACCCTTATTTTATAGATGAGGAAACTGAGGCAGATGCATTGATCCACTTGCCTGTGGTCATGTGTCTGGTGAGTGCGGTCACGTGTCTTGATCCAGGGCCTGTGGATCAAGGGGTCGCTCCGGTGCTGCCCTCTAGACCCCTTTGCTTCCCTCGTGCTGTCCTCACACCACTGTGCTGCCTGCCATCCTTGCCTGTGGTGTGGCCTCTGTCTCCATCGTGTGACTGTGGCATTTTGACTGTAGTAGTTAGCACACGTAGTGGGCTCTTGAAGGGTGAACGAGGTAACATAGGATCCCCATGCCACAAAGGTAGCAAACCTTTGTCATCGCCACCGTCACTGGTCAGTGGTGTCTCTGAGTCCTGAGCAGATGTAATCCCTTGGGTGGGGACTCAGCACAGAGTGAAGAGCTTGGGGTGAGGACCAGGCTTCCTGGGCTCCCCAGCTCTTCCACTTCCTGGCTCTACACCGGAATCTCACCCTGTAAGCCTCTCATTCTTCCCTCTACCACGTGGGAGAAACTCCCACGAGAGGCAGCGGGTGCTGCAGGCTGGGGCTTGTTTCTGTCTCGGAGCGGGGCTTAGGTTTGAACCCCAGCTCTACTGTCCTGGCCTGTTTCCTGTTTCTTCTTGGCCCAGGCTGGAATGCAGTGTTGCGGTCATAGTTCACTGCAGCCTCCACCTCCTGGGATCGCTCGCCAGCACTGGTCAAGGTAGTTCCTAGTTTCATGGCCAGGGTACATTGCCCAGGGGCAGGCCAGTACTGTGTCTCAGGATATGGGAGTGCAGGTTCTGGGCCACATTGAGTTTATACCTTGACTGCTGCCTCCTCTCTTTGTGCCCTTGGGGAGGATACTGCAGCCGTCTGCCTCAGTTTCCTCCAGTGACCCTCAGGTTAAGAATCGTGGTATGCAGTTGTCCGGAGCATTCTACAGCTGGCCCCTGGGAAGAACTTGGGGCTTCCTGGGCAGAAGTGTCCATGGCCGGGCCAGGGAGTGGGCACCAGGAAGGAGGCTCAGGCCCTGACCGCCTCTCTCTTACTGATCTTTTGCAGTTTCTCCACAGTCGAACTCTTCTCGGCCCACCTGTGCACGTCATCTCACCTTGGGCACAGGAGACGGGGGCCCGGCCCCACCTCCTGCCCCCTCCTCTGCGTCCTCCTCCCCTTCCCCTTCTCCCTCATCTTCCTCCCCTTCCCCTCCCCCACCCCCACCGCCCCCTGCACCCCCAGCCCCACCTGCCCCCCGATTCGACATCTATGACCCCTTCCACCCCACCGACGAGGCCTACTCTCCACCGCCTGCTCCGGAGCAAAAGTACGACCCCTTCGAACCCACTGGCTCCAACCCCAGCTCATCAGCCGGGACCCCCTCACCCGAGGAGGAAGAAGAGGAGGAGGAAGAGGAAGAGGAAGAGGAGGAGGAGGAGGAGGAGGAGGAGGAGGGCCTGTCCCAAAGCATCAGCCGCATCTCGGAGACCCTGGCGGGCATCTACGATGACAACAGCCTGAGCCAGGACTTCCCAGGTGACGAAAGCCCCCGCCCAGACCCACAGCCCGCACAGCCGACTCCGGCCCCTGGAACGCCGCCCCAGGCGGACTCCACCCGGGCTGATGGAGCCACGCGCCGGCGGGTCTTCGTCGTGGGGACCGAGGCGGAGGCCTGTCGGGAAGGCAAGGTCTCTGTGGAGGTGGTGACCGCTGGTGGAGCCGCCCTCCCGCCGCCCCTGCTGCCACCCGGCGACTCGGAGATTGAGGAGGGCGAGATTGTCCAGCCAGAGGAGGAGCCCAGGGTGGCACTGTCCCTTTTCCGCCCCAGCGGCCGGGCCACCCGGCCTCCGCCCGCCGCCTCGGCCACACCTGCGGCCCAGCCCCTACCGCAGCCTCCTGCTCCCCGGGCCCCCGAGGGGGATGACTTCTTGTCCCTGCACGCGGAGTCGGATGGCGAGGGCGCCCTGCAGGTGGACCTGGGGGAGCCGGCCCCCGCGCCGCCTGCGGCTGACTCGCGCTGGGGCGGCCTGGACCTGCGCCGCAAGATCCTGACCCAGCGGCGGGAGCGCTACCGCCAGCGCTCGCCCTCCCCGGCACCCGCGCCGGCCCCGGCAGCCACCGTGGGGCCCCCCACACGCAAGAAGTCCCGGCGGGAGCGCAAGCGCAGCGGTGAGGCCAAGGAGGCGGCTTCGTCCTCCTCGGGCACCCAGCCTGCGCCGCCCGCCCCAGCCTCGCCCTGGGACTCCAAGAAGCACCGCTCGCGGGACCGCAAGCCCGGCTCCCACACCTCGTCGTCTGCCCGCCGCCGCTCCCGCTCCCGCTCCCGCTCCGCCCGCCGCCGCTCGCGCAGCACCGACCGCCGCCGCGGAGGCAGCCGCAGGTCGCGGTCCCGGGAAAAGCGGCGGCGGCGGAGGCGCTCGGCTTCCCCACCCCCAGCCACGTCCTCGTCGTCATCCTCGCGGCGCGAGCGGCACCGCGGGAAGCACCGGGACGGTGGCGGCAGCAAGAAGAAGAAGAAGCGGTCGCGGTCCCGGGGCGAAAAGCGGTCTGGGGATGGCAGTGAGAAGGCCCCGGCACCGGCTCCGCCACCCTCCGGCTCCACCTCTGGCGGTGACCGCGACAGCCGCCGCCGAGGGGCCGTGCCGCCCTCCATCCAGGACCTCACGGACCACGACCTCTTCGCCATCAAGCGGACCATCACGGTGGGCCGGCTTGACAAGTCCGACCCCCGAGGACCCTCTCCCGCCCCGGCCTCGTCCCCTAAGCGGGAGGTCCTGTACGACTCGGAGGGACTGAGCGGCGAGGAGCGGGGCGGCAAGAGCAGCCAGAAGGACCGGCGCCGCTCGGGGGCCGCTTCCTCCTCCTCCTCCTCCCGGGAGAAGGGGTCTCGTCGGAAGGCTCTGGACGGGGGGGACCGGGATCGGGACAGGGACAGAGAGAGGGACAGGGACAGGTCATCCAAGAAGGCCCGGCCCCCCAAGGAGTCGGCGCCTTCCTCAGGGCCCCCGCCAAAGCCACCGGTCAGCAGCGGCTCCGGCTCTTCATCCTCGTCCTCCTCCTGTTCCTCCCGGAAGGTGAAGTTGCAGTCCAAGGTGGCGGTGCTGATCCGCGAGGGTGTCAGCAGCACCACCCCGGCCAAGGACGCCGCGTCGGCCGGCCTGGGCTCCATCGGCGTCAAATTCAGCCGCGACCGGGAGAGTCGCTCCCCTTTCCTAAAGCCCGACGAGCGGGCCCCGACTGAGGTGGCCAAAGCAGCTCCGGGCAGCACCAAGCCCAAAAAGACCAAGGTCAAGGCCAAGGCTGGGGCCAAGAAAGCCAAGGGGACCAAGGGAAAGACCAAGCCATCCAAGACCAGGAAAAAGGTCCGCAGCGGAGGCGGCAGCGCGGGCAGTGGTGGCCCGGTGTCGCTGAAGAAGTCGAAAGCGGATAGCTGCAGCCAGGCGGCGGGCACCAAGGGGGCAGAGGAGACTTCGTGGTCCGGAGAGGAACGGGCAGCCAAGGTCCCTAGCACCCCACCACCCAAGGTAGCCCCACCGCCCCCTGCCCTCACTCCGGACTCACAGACCGTGGACAGCAGCTGCAAGACACCCGAGGTCTCCTTCCTGCCTGAGGAGGCCACCGAGGAGGCTGGAGTCCGAGGTGGGGCAGAGGAGGAGGAGGAAGAGGAAGAAGAGGAGGAGGAAGAAGAGGAGGAGGAGGAACAGCAGCCTGCCACCACCACGGCCACCAGCACTGCTGCGGCCGCCCCAAGCACTGCCCCCAGCGCGGGGTCCACAGCCGGTGACTCGGGGGCGGAGGACGGGCCGGCTTCCCGTGTCTCCCAGCTGCCCACGCTGCCCCCGCCCATGCCCTGGAACCTGCCAGCTGGTGTGGACTGCACCACCAGCGGCGTCCTGGCCTGTGAGTGTCCCCTGGGGAGGAGGGTGCTGGGGCGAGCAAGGCAGGATGGGGACTGGAGGGTACAGACTTGGAGCCGGTGGGGTGCTCTGGAAGCGGGAGGTTTGTGGGGACATGGACTGGGCGGGCAGGGGTGGGTGAGGCCGGCTGGGGTCTGTCCAGAGGCTCTAGGTGCCTTGGTGTGCTGGGGGAGAGGGGCTGACCAGAGCAGGGGGCAGCCAGCCCAGAATGGAGTGCTGGGCTAGGTTCAGGGGTGTCCCTAGAGGGTAACTAGGTTAGAGGGACGAGAAAGAATGGCTCGTGCAGGGCACTGTGTTCCTTGCGGATGGCAGTGGCCTCTACCAGACTGCAGAGGTGGGGAGAGAGGCTGGGACTGGCTTCCAGGGGGTCAGGAGACAGAATCTGACTCCTGCAGCCGTCTCTCCACCGCATGACCCTGGCTAGCCCCCCGCCCACACACCTGGAGTCCCAAGAACATTCGGGGTGGGGGTCGTTCTCTCATGGACTGAGGCCCCCTTTTTCCCTGTTTTTTTTTTTTTTTGAGACAGAGTCTCACTCTGTTGCCCAGGCTGGAGTGTAATGGCGCAATCTCAGCTCATTGCAACTTCCGCCCCCCAGGTTTAAGCTGTTCTCCTGCCTCAGCCTCCCAAGTAGCTGGGACTACAGGCATGCACTACCACACCGGGCTGATTTTTTATTTTTCGTAGAGATGAGATTTCACCATGTTGGCCAGGCTGGTCTCAAACTCCCAACCTCTGGTGATCTGTCTGTCTCAGCCTCCAAAAGTGCAGGGATTACATGCGTGAGCCACCTCACCCGGTCCCCTTTTCCCAATTCTGAGTGTGGGGCCTTGTGGCTGTCCTGGGACCCAGGACAGGAGATGGCAGCAAGTGTCCAGGTGAGGTTCACCAGCTCCTGTCCTGTCACCTCCCCCCATCTCCGTGTTGTCACCTCTCCGTCTCCTGCAGTGACTGCACTTCTCTTCAAGATGGAAGAAGCCAACCTGGCGAGCCGAGCGAAGGCCCAGGAGCTGATCCAGGCCACCAACCAGGTGGGCTCCCCTGGGGGAGAGTCCCTGCCGCCCCTTCTTTTGTGCATTGCCTCGGGTTAGGAGAGGAACCGCAGGCCCGGCAGCTCTGGGGCAAGGTATCGGCCTGAAGAGGAGCCTGTTGCCTCGGCTGTGGGGAAGTCAGCGTGGGAACAGCGGGGTGCACGTCCCCTCTTCCCTGTCCCCTCCCTTTACTCACCACCCCTCCATCCTCTTCCCACAGATCCTCAGCCACAGAAAGCCACCCTCAAGTCTGGGGGTGACCCCAGCTCCTGTGCCCACCTCTCTGGGTCTGCCCCCTGGCCCCTCCAGCTACCTGCTTCCTGGCAGCCTCCCCCTGGGGGGCTGTGGCTCGACCCCTCCCACCCCCACCGGGCTGGCTGCCACTTCTGACAAGAGAGAGGGCAGCAGCAGCTCCGAGGGACGTGGAGACACAGATAAGGTGAGCTGGCCTAGGGAGAAGTGCGTGGGTGGTGACCGTTCTGTAGAAAATACAGACAGGAACGGAGATTTGGGGGCTCAAGGAGAAAGGGAGACTGAGGCAGGCAGACAGGGCCTTAGAGGCCAAAATCATGAAACTGTAAGGAACTGAACTTCCGCTGGAATGGAGGAGCAGGAAACGCATTGGGTGGGGCCGAAGGAAAATTGTGTCTGTGTGTGTGGTGGGGGTGTGCGCTTATACCCCACATAGACACACACTGCACTGCAGTCCACCCCTTGATTACCTGTTGCTCACACTCTCTTCCTCTGTGTCAGTGGGGAGGGTGGTTTTTGAATGAAAAGTCAAGACCCCTGTTTCTAGATGAAGAGAGGGAGAGTGGATGCCAGGCAGACAGTAATGCGGATTCTTTTTCAGCGGCTCTGGCTGGCTCCTGTCCTGGGCTCTGGGCCTGTTTCTCTCTCGATCAGGTCTGGATAAGGGTTTTTGTGTGTGGTTTGCTTTTTTTTTCTTTTGGTTGGTTTTTTTTTTTTTTTTTTGAGACGGAGTTTCGCTCTTGTTACCCAGGCTGGAGTGCAATGGCGCGATCTCGGCTCACCGCAACCTCCGCCTCCTGGGCTCAGGCAATTCTCCTGTCTCGGCCTCCTGAGTAGCTGGGATTACAGGCACACGCCACCATGCCCAGCTAATTTTTTGTATTTTTAGTAGAGACGGGGTTTCACTATGTTGACCAGGATGGTCTCGATCTCTTGACCTCGTGATCCACCCGCCTCGGCCTCCCAAAGTGCTGGGATTACAGGCTTGAGCCAGGTTGGTTGGTTTTTGAGACAGGGTCTCCCTCTGTCACCCAGGCTGGCGTGCAGTGGCACAATCACAGCTCACTGTAGCCTCAACCTTGATCTCTTGGGCTCAAGGGATCCTCCTTCCTCACCCTCCTGTGTAGCTAGACAGACACGCGCCACCGTGCCTAGCTAATTTCTTTTTTTTTTTTTCTTTTTTACTTTTTATACCACTTCGATTTGATGGTGGAGCTAATTTCTTAATTATTTGTAGAGTCGGGGTCTCACTATGTTGCCCAAGCTGGTCTGAAACTCCTGGGCTCAAGTAATTTTCCCACCTCAGCCTTCCAAAGTGCTGGGATTCCAGATGTGAGCCACTGTGCCCAGCCTGGATGTTTTTTCTCACAGTCCAGCAGCCCGTAGCCAGACGGTGGTGTGGCCCACCTTCACGCAGTTGTTCACGGTGCCAGATAAAGCTGGATAAACCCCATGAAACATCCCTGTGTGAGCCGCAGAGGCGGGGCCGCAGCTTAGCCCGTCACTTGTCCGTGTCTCATGCCCTGTGCTGCAGGCCTGAGACGGTGAGGACCTTCTCGTCTGCACTGGCCCTTGCTCTTCCCTGGTCTGTGCTCTGCCCTTTGCCCCTTTTTGCCACATCTGAGATGGGTGCTGGGGAGCAGCGTCTCTCTAGAGACCCTCGTCCTGTGGCAGCAGGCAAGCCTGAGGAGTCCCTCCAGGTGGCCTGCGTCTCTCCTGGCCACAGAGTTGCCCTCACAGTTCAGCTTCGTCAGACAGCGTCCCTGGACTCTGTTAGCCATTGTGCCCTGCCCTTCCCAGGACTCAGCTTATTTGCCCCCACCTGGCTTGGCCCTGGGTTATGGGGATTAGTCACCTGGCTTGGGAGGGCAGCCTCCCCTGTGCCAAGGGATGGTCCCTTGTGCCTGCAGAGGGCTTGTTCTTCTCTGGTCCCACGTGGCTCTCTGGCTAGAGGTTTCCTGTCTGCTTTGACAAAGATTCTGCCTGAGGCCAGGGATGCAGCTGCTACCCGAGCTGTGGCTGCTGGATCTCCTAGCTCGCTGGCCACAGGCGGGAAGAGCCTTGCCTCGGAGGCTGTCTGCCCTGCCCCCTATCCTGTCCTCCTTTTTTTTAAAAAATTATTTATTTATTTTTTTTGAGACAGAGTCTCACTCTGTCACCCAGGCTGGAGTGCAATGGCACGATCTCGGCTCACCGCAACCTCCACCTCCCAGGTTCAAGCGATTCTCCTGCCTCAGCCTCCTCAGTAGCTGGGATTACAGGCGTGTACCACCGTGCCCAGCTGATTTTTGTATGTTTAGTAGAGATGGGGTTTCGACATTTTGGCCAGGCTGGTCTCGAACTCCTGACCTTGTGATCCACCCGCCTCGGCCTCCCAAAGTGCTGGGATTACAGTGTCCTCTCCTTTTCATCCGCGCGGCCATTCCTCTGGGAAGAGGCACAGCTCCCCTGGATTGAGTCCTTGATCTGTGCCTGGCCTGTGCCATGTCCTCCATGTGTGTCATTATAGTCCTTCTCATAGGTGCTGTCCCTGTTTTACAAATGAGCCACAAAGGTGGCCAGGTGCAGTGGCTAATGCCTGTAATTCCAACACTTTGCAAGGCCGAGGCGGGTGGATCGCTTGAGCCCAGAAGTTCAAGATCAGCTTGGGCAACATAGTGAGGCCCAGTCGCCACAAAAGTCCAAGAATTAGCCGCGTGTGGTGGTGGTACCTCTAGTCCCAGCTACTCAGGAGGCTGAGGTGGTACCTCTAGTCCCAGCTACTCAGGAGGCTGAGCTACTCAGGAGGCTGAGGCTGAGGTGGGAGGATCACTTCAGCCCAGGAGTGCAGGGCTGCAGTGAGCAGTGATTGTGCCACTGCACCCCAGCCTGTGTGACAAGGAAAGACCCTGTCTCAAAAACAAAGAAACAAAAATGAGCCACAAAAAGGAGATTTGGCTGATCATCCCAGGGCTTAGAGCCGGAGAGCGGCAGACCAGGCTTCCAATGCAAGTGGGTCCGAGGACAGTCCTCACCCCCACTCCCCAGTGCCCCTCAGTCCTAGCCATTCCCTCCATCGCCTTGGTGACCAGAGCAGTATTATAAAAATGTAAACTGGGGCCGGGCGCGGTGGCTCACGCCTGTAATCCCAGCTCTCTGGGAGGCTGAGGTGGGTGGATCATGAGGTCAGGAGTTCGAGACCTGCCTGACCAACATGGTGAAACCCTGTCTCTACTAAAGATACAAAAATTAGCTGGATGTGATGGTGTGCGTCTATAATCCCAGCTACTCAGGAGGCTAAGGCAGAAGAATCACTTGAACCCGGGAGGCGGAGGTTGCAGTGAGCCAAGATTGCACCATCCCATTGCAGCCTGGGCAATGGAGCAAGACTCCATCTCAAAAAACAAAAAACAAAACCTGAACTGCGTCCTCCCGTCCTGCGGTGAAAATCCCTGTGTAGTTTTCCTGCCGTCCTCAGAAGCAGCCCTGCCTGTAGTCTGATTCAAAACCGGCTGTAATTGCTTGGCCAGCGCCTGCCATGTCAGACCGAACTTTGTGAGGGCAGGTGACACATGTCATGGCCAGGCCTCGGGCAGGCATGGTTCGGCCTAGAGGAGATGTCCAGTGACATTCAGCGGCCCAGGGCTGGCCTTTGGTCCCAGGTCCCTGCAGCAGAGGGCGCATGGGACAGACCCTCAGCAGGACTTCTAGCTCAAGCACAGCAGGACAGCCAGAGGGCCAAGCTGGCTGCAGAGGCCAGTGGAGACGGAGGTTCCGGTACCCGGTACTCACTGGCCCTTGCTGTCTCTTCCTCCCTGCTGTCGCCACCCCCCCCCCCCCCCCCCCCCAGTATCTGAAGAAGCTGCACACGCAGGAGCGGGCAGTGGAGGAGGTAAAGCTGGCCATCAAGCCGTACTACCAGAAGAAGGACATCACCAAGGAGGAGTACAAGGACATCCTGAGGAAGGCCGTCCACAAGGTGGGCACCTGGAGAGAGGGGCAGACACAGGACAGAGGGAGGACGAGCTGGAGGGACAGATGGGTGCGGATGGGAGGTGGGGAGGAGGTCAGTCTGGGAGGTGAGGGGGTGACGAGATTTTCTCAAGGCCACCTGGGCCTGTTCCGCTGGCCCTGGGGGACCCACTGTCAACGGCGACAGAGGGACCTTGGCCTGTAATTGGGAAGTGCTCCTGTCCCATGCTGAGCCCAGCAGCCCTGGTGGGTGGGGCCCCAGGAGCCTGGTGGTGACTCCGGCTGTCCCTGGTCCCCCAGATCTGCCACAGCAAAAGCGGGGAGATCAACCCGGTGAAGGTGAGCAACCTGGTGCGGGCCTACGTCCAGCGCTACCGCTACTTCCGCAAGCACGGTCGCAAGCCAGGGGACCCCCCAGGGCCCCCACGGCCGCCCAAGGAGCCAGGGCCCCCGGACAAGGGTGGCCCGGGCCTGCCCCTGCCCCCTCTCTGAGAGCCCTGGCCAGCTCTTCGCCCCTCGTCTCTTTGAAATTCTGGACATATTTATGGCTCCACCTCCCCACTTCCCTCCCCATCAGTGGGATGATTGGGGGAGGGTTGCTGCAGGGAAGAGGAGAGCCCCCTGCCCTGCCCTGCCCCATGCCCACATCCCTTGCCCCAAAGCCTGTCCCCAGTGCCCCTCCCTTCTGTTCGTGCCCCTCTCCCCAATTTCATTAAAGATTTCATGAAACATGGCCCCCGAGCACCATGGTTCTAATCCTTAGTTTTCAGGGACAAATTTGCCAGAGGGTTGGGGCAGGACCCCCAGGAGGCTAAGGGTGACCAGACTAACTTGGGGCAGCTGCCTCCCCTGGGCCTCAATTTCTGTACAGTGGGTGTTGTAAGGATTGAACAAGACACAGGCAGAGCACTTAGCAGAGTCTCCGGCAGGGAGCCAGTGGCTCACAGTAGCAGGGGTGGGGTCACACCTGACCAGCATCCTCCCAGCTCAGGGCCCCTGGGTACCATGTGCCTGCCTTGGAATTGCTCCCAGAAACAGGATCTGTGTTCCCCATCGAGTGGGCTTCTCTTTTCAGCAGCCCTGTGAAGCTGGAGTGATCCTCAGCCACTCTCTTGAGAGGGAAACTGAGACACAGAACAGGATGGCTGCACTGGCTTCTGCCACTTTCATCACCCAGAACTGAGGCCCGGCCAGGAGAGACGACAGTGCCCAGGGTCAGAGGGCAGGCAGGCTTTGCACAAGGCCCCAGGGTGGCAGCAGAGCCTCTCTACCACTGCTCCCTCCAGCCCCACACAGACGGGGCGTGAGGCCTGGAAGGAGAAGGGCTGTTTGCCCAAACTCTTCATAGGCAGGGCAGGGGCCTCGGTTCTGGCCGGTCTTTGTGTTTCCTCACCTTTGTGCCTCTCGAAGCCTATGTCTTGGTCTACAGAGTGGGGGCAGCCATCACCCAGCAGGTCCCCTGGGAAGAGGTGAGGAGGGTCGGCTGCCCCCTGCAGTGCTTGGTCCTCATGCATTGAGCACCTGAGTTGTGCACAGCTGCACAGATGGGTAAACTGAGACCCTGACCAGGAATAACAAGCAGCTTGGGTCAGAGGGCACCCAACACCAGACGCACAAGTGGTAACTACAGCAGGAACCAGTTTATTGATCGAGGTGGTGGGTGGGGTAGGGGAGCTAGAGGCCACACTATTCGGAGTGAGGGCTCAGGCCTCCCCAGGGCTCTGGAAATCCATGTCCTCCACCAAGTCCTTCAGGTAGGCTTTGTACTGGTCGGAGGTGAGGGAGAGTGGGTGGCTGTTGGAAATGTGCAGTTCTACCGTGTTCTCCAGGGAGGAGGCACCCCCTGCCCGGGCCAGCTCTACCAAGGCCCTGAGGCATGTGGGCACAACCTGCAGAGGAAGTGGAGACAGGAGTCAGGGAAAACAGCCAGTATCCACCAAGGTAGGAGTCAGGGCTAGGAGAACTACAACTCCCTGCAGCCCCCGCTGTAAGCCAGGATGAACCACAGGCCCAGGGCTGCTGGGAGTTGTAGTTTCCCCTCTTTACACACACACAGACACACACACATGCGTGTACAAGGCCAGAGTGCTCCTAGGAGTCAGGGCTGAGCAGTCTATGATCTTGACTCCTGGGAGCCACAGCCATGGCCTCACAATGGCAGCTAGGACTTGGTGTCCACCAGCTTCTACATGGTTTAGAGCAGGGGTCCCCAACCCCACCGCCTGCTAGGAACCAGGTCACAGCAGGGCATGAGCAGCAGGTGAGGGAACATTACTGCCTGAGCTCAGTGTTCTGTCAGATGGGTGGCATTAGATTCTCACAGGAGCATGAGCTCTATTGTGAACTGTGCTCGGGAGGAGCTAGGTTGCTCCTTATGAGAATCTAATGCCTGATGATCTGCAGTTGGGCAGTTTCTTTCCGAAACCACCCCCTCCCTTTCTGTGGAAAAATTATCTTCCATGAGACTGGTCCCTGGTGCCAAAATGCTTGGGGACTGCTGGTTTAGAAAGTTCAAAACAGGCTCTGCTGCTGGGGCCATGGGAAGGAGCTCTTGGGGATGAAAAGCTGGTTATTGCAGAGATCTTGGAAGCTGCAGCTTTTCGGAGGGCCTTCTGGGAGCTGCAGTTCCTGAGAGCAAACTCTTCCCTCTGTAAGGCCACCCCTCTCAGCCCCAGGGACTCGGGGCTGCAGGCACCTTGACCATCACGAGCCTCTTGGTCCACGGCTGGTCCTGGGGCCATGGCTCCCCGACACAGAACCAAAGGGTATAGCGTGGTGAGCGTCCACTTCCTTCCGTGAAGGTAATCAGATCTGGGGGCCCAAAAGCCTAGTCAGGGATGAGAAGAGGACCCTCTCCCCCCGCTTCCCCAGAAACTTGGAAAATAGCCCCCCACTCATCTCCCCTGACCTGAGGCCCTCTGCCACCTCCACCAGGGAATGCTTGTTTGGGGAAAGTCCCCATGATTCTGTTTCTGTACTTCTTACCTCCCTCCCGTCAGGGTGAACCCCCCAGCCCCCAAGCCTCAGCATTCATGACAGGCCCAGAGTAGGGGTCCATTCCCCCAAGGATGCTCAGTGAATCTGGAGAAGCTGGTTGGCATTCAGTCTCCTCTAAGGGTGCACTAATTGCAGCCATCAGCCACGTGAGGTTACTTAAGTTTAAACTGTAATTTTTTTTTTTTTTTTGAGACGGAGTTTCGCTCTTGTTACCCAGGCTGGAGTGCAATGGCGCGATCTCCGCTCACCGCAACCTCCGCCTCCCGGGTTCACGCAATTCTCCTGCCTCAGCCTCCTGAGTAGCGGGGATTACAGGCACGCGCCACCATGCCCAGCTAATTTTTTTGTATTTTTAGTAGAGACGGGGTTTCACCATGTTGACCAGGATGGTCTCGATCTCTCGACCTCGTGATCCACCCGCCTCGGCCTCCCAAAGTGCTGGGATTACAGGCTTGAGCCACCGCGCCCGGCTAAACTGTAATTAAAGCGAACCACGTCCTGGCTGCACTGGCCTCACCTGAGTGCTCGGGCCCTGTGGCTAGCGGCTGCTGCACCAGGCAGTGTAGGTGGCCGTTCCCATCATCGCGGACAGCTCCACCGCAGAGCGACTCCCTAAGGCACGCAGCTTTCCTGCTATTTGCTCTATCCACCATCATTAGTTACGATGATGGTGACAGTGGTAGCTAATTCCTGAGCGCGCTCTACGTACTGGATCTGTGTCTCACCGCAGCGCGGGCAGGCAAGTAGAGAGGAGGCCGTCCTCGGATTCCACGGGCTCAGGGCAAAGTCCTTTGTCTCAGGTTATACAGCCAGCGGAGCACAGCCAGGATCTGAATTCAGTCCTAATCCCGAGATCCTAACCGCTATGTGGGCTGCTTCCTCCTGGGCAGGGCGAAGCTCCTGTCTCACTTACCTACAATGAAGGGTCCCAGGTCGAGCACGCTTCCTTCCTTGTCCTTGGGGACCTCGCCATCAGGCCCATTCCCACTGTTGGGGAGCAACTCCTCGCTCACTGCCCAGTATGTGTGGCACTGCCCCAGCCGCTGGGCCCAGAGCTGCTGTCCGGCCCGCCACAGAGCCAGTCCTCCGCCCAGGCGGCTCAGCACATGCCTCACGTAGCTCATCACTCCCTTGTCTGTCAGGGACACGCCAGGGTCTGGCAGTGTGATGGGCCATCCAGGCAGCATCCTGTCTGCCACTTCAGACCCCACCAGCCGCAGGCCTCCTGGGCAAGAGATGGTCTGCTGGAAGACTTGGCGGCCCCGGTAGAAGGCTGTCACCTCGAACTCCCACTCTGAGCAGCGGCAGCAGCAGCGTGAAGGGGAGAAGGATTGAGAGAGAGTCAGGGACTGCTACCCAGACCTCAGCCCCTCCCAGCCGGCAGCTGACACTCACCTTCCCCCGGCACCAGCAGCCGCCTCAGTGGGTTCTCAGAGGGCTCTGGGTTTGGGAAGGACGTGGGATTGTCCAAGCTGGGGCTCAGCAGGGACTGAGGGTAGGGCTCAGGGGCTACAGCCAGGCCTGCTGGTCCCGAATCTGGGAGTGGGGCCAAGACCATGTTACCCAGTAACTCATCCAGAATGTCTTCCTGGAGGGAAACAAAAAGAGAATCGGGCATTTCAACAGTCTTTTCTGGAGACTTTATGTGGACCAAGTCTGTTCTCAGCAGTGCAGGGAGGTCAGGCTTGAACTCTGCCTTCAAAGGGCTTCCAGTCTGGGGATAGAGGCAGCCACGGGCATCAATAGCCAAACAGACACTCTAATGAACGCCACATGCTACCATTCCAGCCCCAGGATCTGGCTCTGCAGGCAAGACCTGGGCAGAATTTCAGAGGGGATGCTCCCCTGGCTCTGACAGCAGAAGGATCAAGGGGAGGAAGGTTTTCAGTTCCCAAGTGGCTGACAGACAGCCCCTGCCAATCAAGGATATATATGAAATACCGGGAAGGCGTGTCAAATGCAAATCGAGCACCTTCAATGCCAAGTGAAGACTGAATTTTCTCCTAAGGAGACTGGAGCATGGGACAGATGGGGCCAGCACTGGCTCAGGTAAGGGGCAGACTGGAGGCTAGGGAGGGGCGCTGGTCCAGAGGGAGAGGATGAGCCCATGGGAACAGGACAGACACTGAGGGGCTTGAAGGTTGGGCACATTTTTACCTGGGTATCAGAAGTACTGCCTCCGCCATTGGTGTCTGGAGAGGTGTCTGGCTGGGAAAAGTCCCCAACTCCTGTTGAGAAAGTTGGTGAGGCGGCCAGGGGTGCCAGGAACCCTTGGGACCCCAGCCTCCCACACGAACCCCTGGCGGACCTGAGTTCACAAACTCGTAGATCTTATGTGGGTCGTGAGGGTCCTTGCTCCGGTCATCTGCTAAACGTAATCCATCTTTGCGGTTGAGGGCAGAACGGAAATTCCTCTTCCAGGTTGGCGGGTCTGGCCTATCCCTCCCGGGAACGTAAGCACCAGTGGCCTCGGCCCAGGCCTGGGGCAACAGTGGTGTCAGGATAGTGAGAGAGGACGACCTAGATCCTGTCCCGGAGCCCCACCCCTGTCTCCCGCATCCTACCACCACCCTCTTTCCCGGGCAAGTTCTAACTCTGCAAGGTCCATCCCCAAATCCCCCCATCCCACCTAACTCCATCTTGCACCTCTAGTTTTCAAAATGGAGCTTTGAAACTTTTTTTCGAGATGGAGTTTCAACTCTTGTCACCCAGGCTGGAATGCAATGGCGCAATCT